ACATCCCCCAACCCCCAGCACTGCTGCCCCCTCTCCCACCTCCTCATAGCATCACATCACCAAGTCCGGCTGAATGTTGATGAGAGTTGTCCCCAGACACTCAAACACTACTTGGAAGGCCCAGTAAATAAATATCATGACAATAAAGCCAATATTGAAAACTGATACCATATGATCCACCTCAGATGACATTTTCAAGTTCTCAAATGACAAAACCAGAGAAGAAGAACAGTTTAGGCTCATTGCCTGGGTTGGAGCTGGGAGACTGGGCGCTGAATATGAAAGGAAAGTAGCAGAAGCTCCTTCGTGGTCCTGAAGAACTTGGAGTCTTGAGCTTGCTCTGTTCTTAAATTCCCTCTAACCTCTTTTTTTTGGGGGGGGGCACACCTGATGATGCTCAAGGGTTATTCCTGGCTCTGCACTCAGGAATTACTCTTGTTGGGCTGGAGAGATAGCACAGCGGGTAGGGCGTTTGCCTTGCACACGGCTGACCCAGGTTCCATTCCCAGCATCCCATATGGTCCCCTGAGCACCGCTAGGAGTAACTCCTGAGTGCAGAGCCAGGAGTAACCCCTGTACATCGCCAGGTGTGACCCAAAAAGAAAAAAAAGGGAATTACTCTTGTCGTTGCTCAGGGAACTATATGGGATGCTGGGGATCGAACCTGATGCGTACAAGGCAAGTACCCTACCCACTACTATCTCTCTGGCCCTCCTCTAACTTATTTTTCTGTTCTTCTATTGCTAGGAGGACTACTCTGCACTATTGCTCTTCACTCCAACAATCTGCTCTCACTCATCCTGTAGGGAAAATCAACGGGTCTAAATTTACTAGCCTGGTCTAGGGCTCTTGCCTATTCCCTGCCCTTCTTTGCCACTATTTATAGCCAGGCTTATTTTGGGCAGTCTGTCTTTCTTGTTCCCTTCTCCTGGTGGCGGGTGAGGTAACTTTTCAAATATTTTGGCAGAGGAGGTCAGAAGTAGATGTCTGACCTCTGATTTCATCGTCAGATATAGCAGGAGCCCATGGAGTGGAGAAGGGAGGCAGAAGAGCTTCAAGAGCACGGAGGGAGGCATGGGGCTCTCAGGGCATCTTCCACTGCTTGGTCTGAGGTCTAAGAGAGAGTGAGGAGTCCCAGGTTCTCTGCAAACTTTACTACTTTGGATTTTCATATCACCTCTAGTGTCTGGGGCACTGAGAGAGAAAAGGGATGGTGAGGGCGTATTTGGGGGAAAGATGGCAGTAGAATCCTAGTGCTGGTCACTTGCATAATTGAGAGGCCTGTATAGTGCCGAGTTACTCTCTGGGGGACACCCACAACCTGGGAAAGTGAAAATCGGGTTCTTCAAATGTGCAGTGACTTAGCAGAACAAGGAGGTTCCAGGGCCGGCAGACTGAAAGATCACCAAACTTTTGCTTTTAAAATTAAAATCCTCGGGCGGGAGTGATATAGCACAGTGGGTAGGGCATTTGCCTTGCATGTGGCCGACCTGGGTTCAATGCCGGCACTCCATATGATCACCCAAGCACCTCCAGGAATAATTTCTGAGTGCAGAGCCAGGAGTAACCCCTGAGCAATGCTGAGTGCGCCCCCCCCCCCCCCAAAAAAAAGTCCTGGGGGCTGGTGAGATACTACAGAGTGTAGGGCATTTGCCTTGCTTGCAGCTGACCCAGGTTCAATCCCTGGCTTCCCATATAGTCCCCCGTGTTTGTGCCGCCAGGAGTAATTCCTGAGCACTGCTGGGTGTGGCTCCCAAATTAAAACAAAAATGAAAATCCTTGGGCTAGAGAGGTAGTACAGGTGGGAGGGCACTCGATTCTCAGGCAGTTGATGCTAGTTAGATTCCGGTGACTGGATAGGAGCCCCTGAGCAACTGCTAGGGGTCCCTCGTGAGTACAGTCAGGAATAGCTCCTGAGCACTGCTGGGTACGGCCTCTCCCCTCCAAAGCATAATCATGCTTAAAGAAGTAAACGAGACAAAAGGGAAAGAAAAGAGGAAATAGGTAGGGCACTTATCGGACTTTTGCTTTGTTTGGTTTTGTTGCTACACTTGGTAATCCTTGGGGGCTACTCCCAATTCTGTGCTTGTGGGTGCTCCTGGCAGTGCTTGGGAGACCATGTGGTATATCAGGGACTGAACCCAGGCTGAGGAAAGCTTGTGCTCAGCCTTTTGAGCTATTTCTCCAATCCTATATTAGGACCTTGAAGGAAAGGGAGGGAGAAGAGAGAATTATAAGAATCTGTTTATGTCCTGGGGGTGCAGAACTCATTAGAGACACTGGGAATAGGAGGAGGAAATTAGGAAGATACTTTTTTTTGGGGGGGCACACCCAAAGTGCTCAGGCCTTACTCCTGGCTGGGCTCAGGAATCATTTCTGGCAGTGCTCAAGGGACCATACGGGATGCTGGGGATCGAATCTGGGTTGGTCTGGATGTGGTAAGGCAAACACTCTACCCTCTGTACTATTGATCTGGCCCCAATATGAGGAAGATTCCAAGGAGCAGAGACTAGAGGGGTCAAACAGTGAGAAGAGAAGAAAGCAGGCAGTATGTGTGTGTGTGTGTGGGGGGGGGGGGGCGGAAGGACAGAAGGAAATACACACCAGAGCATTGCCCAGTAAGAAGGGAGCTAGGAAGTAAGGTGGGAGTGAGTGAGCTTCCAGTTGTGTCGAATTATTTCCTCTCTTCCTGGCCCCATTTCTGGATGGGAGTTATAAATAGCTGAGAGTTGGAAATGTCCCCACTCGCTTGCTTCTGTGTCAGTCTGGGGGAGGGGAAGGGAAGAGGAACAGGCAGGCGGGTCCCCACGAAGATCCCTGGGAAACCCATCCTGATCCTGCCAAGGACTCTTTCAATCTCCTCTCCCTGAGGGCTTGGAATGGACATCCGGGCTGTGCCTGGAGGACCCCTTCCCATCCCTCTGACTCTCTGGTCCAGTATCTTTCGTGTCTTTGTGTCACCCCCAATTTCTCCCAGCTTAATTTCTTCTCTTGATTTTTCCCCATCCATTCCATCTTCTGTTGTTCAAACTCTTGCTCTTCTTTTCCCTTTCTGTTTTCTTTTACTTGCTTCTTTTGCTCAGGTTTCTGAGTTTGAAGCCAGAGAGATAAAATAGGGCACTTGCTTTGCACGCAGCTGACGGGTTTAATACCAGGTATCCGGTATGGTTCCTCGAGCACTGCCAGGAGTGATTTCTGAGCTCAGAGCCAGGAGTAACCCATAAATACTGCTGGGTGTGACCCCCAAACCGAACAACAACAACAGAAACAGCAACAAAAACTGAAACCTAACTCCTCAGGGGTCACTCCTGGCTCTGAACTCTGAATTACTCCTGATGATGCTCGGGGGAACTGTATGGGTGCTGGGGTTTGAGCCCCGTCAGCAGCGTGTAAGGCAAATGCCCTCCCTGTTGTGCTTTGGCTCCAGCACCTAGATAATTTTTTCCCTTTAGTTTTCGATCCAAACCCATTGTGCTCAGGTGACTAAACTTACATGCAAAATATGTACTAGCCCCCTGAATTATCTCTCCGACCCCTAAAATTCACTTTTTAAAGGGCTGCAAGATAGCTCAAGCAGAGGAGCACATGTCTAACCCTGGGCGCCCCCTCTTATAGACTGCAGCCCCGGGGCATCTGAGTTGACTCTGAATCGCTATGAAGTGGTGGTGGAGGGGTTCCTTGTACCACTGGGTGTGGCTCCTTTAGAAATTATTATTCATTTTTGGTTTGGGGGCCATGCATGGGGCTATTCCAAGCTCCATGCTTTGGGGGCACTCTCTGTGGTGTCCCGGAGACCATGTGGAGCCAGGGATTGAACCTGGGTCTTCTGCATGCAAAGCATGTGCTCAACCTTTAGGACAACCTCTCTGCCCCCCCTCAAGAAATTGTTATACCAATTTTACTGATCTACGGCATTATTTCAGGATCCAGAGAAATATTACAGGGGGTAAGACTGTAATGATTAGGGTCTTGCCTACAACCAACCTTAATTCATTCCCTGGCACTGCATATGGTCCCCTGAGCACTGCCCTGAGTGATCCCTAGGTTGCAGAGCCAGGAATAACCCCTGAGCACCGCGGGTATAACTCCTCCCAACCCCTTTTTCCCCCAAGAGAAAATTTTCGGAAGTACTGCTTCACACCTCTCTGTGTATTAGTCTCACCACATCCACCCTACAAGTTCTGGTACCTTCTACACTATCAAAATCACCCCCTCAATCCGTTCTTCCGACTCTGTTCCCATTTCTTTGGTGATGGCATTATTTTTCAATCTAAGAATTACAATTTTTGGTTTATTGCAAATTTGATTGCTCGGTACTTCCATCCACACGTGGGGATTGTCCTTCGCTTTCCTTCTTAGTAGACTCCTCTTTAAGTTCTGCCCACGTGGGTCACAAAAGGCAAACTTCCATCTTTTGGCTTTGTGGTTATTTTTTTTTCTTTTTTGTTTTGGGTCATACCTGGCGGTGCTCAGGGCTTACTCCCGACTGGGCACTTAGGGATCCCTCCTGGAGGAGCTCGGGGGACCATGTGGGATGCCGGGCCGGCCACGTGCAAGGCAGCTGCCCCGCGGTACCATCTCTCCAGCCCCCAGAGGTCATCTTTTTTGAAGAGGCAAATGCAATCTGTGCAGTGCAGGCACCGCGGCTTCTCGGTGCAGTCAGCGCCCGGGGCACGCAGGGCGGCCTCCCTCTAACCCGTCCCTGGGCGCTGCCACGCCTCTGGCCCCCATCAGAGGCAGGCGGGAGCCTCTCCCCGGCGCTGGCGGGGTCCCGCTGGGCGCTGCGCTGCGGGGGGCCTCCACCTGCCGGCGTGGGGCCGCGGCGGGGCGGGGCCGGCGGGGCGGGGCGGGGCGGGGCGGGGCGGGGCGCCCGAGCTCAGCGGGCGCCGAGCTGCGGCGGCGGCTGCAGTGTCCTGGCCGGTGCAGGCGAGACTGGCGGTCGCTCTGCAGGTTGGGAGATTGCCACCCGAAAGCCCAGCGCGCCGCGGAGACCAGGCCCCCCCGACCCCACCAGCTGGAGTGATTCGGGACTCGGTTTTCTTGCGAGGATCGCGGGCGGGCTGCCCCTCATGGCCCGGATTCCCGGCCGCGACCCTCGGGGGCCCCCTGTGCTTTGCTACCTTCTGGGCTCCTTGCTCTCTGGACTGCTTCTCCCGGGGGCCGCCGCCTTCAATCTGGACGTGGTGGGCGCTCTGACCAAGGAGGGCGAGCCGGGCAGCCTCTTCGGCTTCTCGGTGGCTTTGCACAGGCAGCTGCAGCCCCGACCCCGGAGCTGGTGAGTGACCGCGCCCGCCGGGCGTCCTTATGCCCAAGCCACATTGCCCACGCCCCCCAACCCCCTCTTCCCTAGTCCCCTTCATCTCTCAGTTTCCCACCCCACCGAGACCCAGGCGGTCCCACACCCCCACCTGGCCTCAGCTGCTCCCCCTCCAGGCCCTGGCTTTGGGGGTGGGCTGGAGACCGAGGTTCTTGGCTTAGCAAGAAAAGAGCTCGTTTTGCTTTTCTCCGTCACTTGCATCCTTGCTTCAGTTCCGGGGGGTCTCTCCCAGCAGGCTGAACGCCCCCCCCCCAGAGGAATTTTGTCTCTGCTTAGGGCAGGAGGAGGGGAAAGGGACTGAGGGTTTGGAGGTGTCTTGGGTGGTGTGTGTGTGTGTGTGTGTGTGTGTGTGTGTGTGTGTGTGAGAGAGAGAGAGCTCCAGATTCACTTTCTGCGGAGTGTCGCCTGGGGATGGTGAAAGTGGGCAAGACACTGGCACCCGGGAGAGACCTGGCTTCTGCAGTTCAGGACCGGGGACCCAGCTTGGGGACTGGGCACCTGGGAGGGGGCTGCTCCCGATGATTCAGAGCATGGTGGAGAGCAGAGCCTCGAAAAGTTGTAGCCAGCAGGGAGAAAGAAACGCAGAAAGGATGCTGGCCAGGCAGTCCCCCTTCCTTCTGCTGGGGAAATTTCCAGCTTCAGGCTTCTCAGCAGTGTCTGGGGAAGGCAGGGAGGAGTGAGGAGCAAGCAGAAGATTCCAATCTTTCTGAGAATGCAGGACTCATGGAGCAGGCCCGCTGGTGTGTGAGTCCAGGCTTCCCTTGTGACTGGCTCCTGCTCCATGTGTGATGTGAGATTCTAAGGAGACCAACTCACGCGCCGCCCCGCCCCCTTCTGCCAAGGGCCTTTTCTCTCCTCCGCTAGTGCCCACACCACGCTAAGTGTCCATTACAGGATCAATGCCATCCTCCTGGGGACTGCCTTCTCCCAGCTCCTGCTGCCTGGGGGCAGAAGGGAGAGACATGAGCTCATTTCTCTTCCCTGGTTCAGGGGTGAGGTGGGGGGGGGGTGGGGCCAGCTCTTATCTTTCTTAGTCCATTATCCTTGCCACCAGGGATCGGGGTCAATGGTCCCCCAAACTTTCGAGAGGTAGAAAGCCACAGACTTGTCCTTCAGCCTTCTCTCCGTTTCCTCCCTCACGTCCGTTTCTCCCCCAACCCCCCCTTCCTCCATTGGTCAGAATTCCAGTCCTAGACGCCTTTTTAGGACATGCTGAACTCTCAGCTATTTGCAGGCAAATTCTAGGTTATTTTTAATAGCTTCGTCTCTTGTCATTTCCCCCTCCCCCCCTCTGAAGGGACCACTGATTTTTGTCTCCTAGAGCCAAGCTGGGGGTATTCGCAGGGGGGGTCTGCCTGCCTAACGCTGCCATTGCTCCAGTAGGGGGCACTCTGCCACCTGGTGGTTCCGTGAGACCAGGTATCTCCTGGGCTCCTGCTGTTTGGAGTTGCAGGTTGCCTTCCTGATGGACAGGCCACACCTAGTACTACTGTCTCACTCTGTGCTTTCACCCTCCCATTTCCTTCAATCTGTAAGATGGAGATAAACAGTAGCCCTGTTGCTCAGAGTTGTGGGGATTAAAAGATTTCTTAATATACATAAAATGCTGAGGCTACAGCCGGGCCCATAGTGAGCGAGTGCTGCTCGCAAGTATTGGTACTTCGTCTTCTTTCTCTTTGATCGCCCAAAACGGAGAACTTTAGCGCCCTTACAGCAAACTGGAGCTGAAGACTTGGCTGGAGCACTGCAAGGCTGAGCCAACCTTCAGCCCCAGCGCCCTCCCCAGAGGGCCACCCAGCTTGAGAGAGGCAGAGAGGGCTGGACTTGAGTTGGAGCCTGGAGCCTGGAGAGAGCTGAGAGGTAGCTTGGTTGTGAGCTTCTGCTTCATCTGCACTCAGCCAGGCTCCCAGGCAGTCCCTCTGCCCCCAACAGTCAACGGGTTTTTGCTGTAGTGGCACAGCTGTGGCTACTGTTGTGTGCAGAAGCCTGGGGTGGCCAGGGACTGTGGGATAAAGCCAGGAGGGACCGTGGCTGGGGCAGAGGTGAAGGGAGTGGAGAACTCTAGTTCCAGGGTGGACGGGTGTGTGGGGGAACTCTAGTTCCAGGCTGGATGGGTTTGTTCCCTGCCTGCGTGCTCAGTTTCTTTCCTCGGATGGGCCTTTCTCCAAGCCTTCTTCCCGTCCAGGGAGACCTCGCGGTGAGTGTTCCGTGTTGAGCTGAGTTGGTGCTCACTGCGGGGACCTGGGTGTCTCTGCGAGCCCACTGAAGTGCGGATTCAGCACTTACTGGCACCCTGGTCTCCACTATGGGGTCAGCACAAAGATGAGCTAGGTGGCCCTGGTCCTCAGTAGGTGGCCTTCTCTGTCTCTGGTGGTCAGGGGCACAGCTGACCTGTTAGAAGGTTGGCCATAGATTTATTTTTCTTTTAACAATTGCATTTATTTATTTATTCATTCATTCATTCTTTTATTGTTTTTATGGCCACACTGGGCAATACTGAGGGGTTACTTCAGGCTCTGCACTCAGGAATTAGTCCTGGCCGTGCTCGCAGGATCATACAGGCTTTGGGTGATCGAGCTTGGTTCTGCTGTGCGCATGGCAAGTGCCTACCCACTGTACTATCACTCTGGCCCACTCTTTTCTTTTCTTTTTTTTTTGGGGGGGTCACACCCAGTGATGCACAGGGTTACTCCTGGTTCATGCACTGAGGAATTACTCCTGGCCATGCTCGGGGGACCATATGGGATGCTGGGAATGGAACCCGGATTGGGTCGCGTGCAAGGCAAACACCCTACCCGCTGTGCTATCACTCCAGCCCCCCCACTCTTTTCTTTTTTTGTTGGCTTTTGGGTCATATCTTGCTATGCTCAGGGCATACTCCTGGCACTGCACTTAGGGATCACTTGTTGTGGGGCTTGGGGGACCATAGGGCATACCAGGGACCAACCCTCATGGACCATATACAAGGCTAGCATCTTGCCCACTGTACCCTCTCTCTCCCGCCCCCCTATTTCCTTTGCTTCTGGGTGTCCCCTCACTGGCCTTCCCTCTTCCTTCTTATCAGTGGTCTCAGTGTGCAGATGGGCAGCCATTGGGTGTTGGAGGCAGACAGAATGGGCCTGCACTCGGCATACCACTTAATTTCTTTTCTTTTTTCTTTTCAAATTGATGTTTTGGGCCTGAACACATCTGGCTGTGTTCAGGACTTACTTCTAGCTTTGCACTTAGGGATCATTCCTGGTGAAGCTCAGGGGGACCCTATGGGATTCCAGGGATCAAACCTGGGTTGGCTGCATGCAAAGCAAACACCCTACCCATTGTACTATCTCTCCACCCCCCATGCTTACTTTCTGAGTGTGTTTCTGTATCCAAAGGACACTATGAGTGTTCTACAGGGCTGCATGAAGAGTCACTGCGCAGCCTGGTGCCTGGCCTGTGGTAGAACAGGGATCTTGATAGCTCCTCAGATCTCTTGCCCATGGCCTGGATCACAGTAGGTGCTGGTAAATAAGACTTCATTGTCCCACCAGAGCCTGGCACAGAGCTTGGCCAATGATGGATCCTCCCTAAATAACTTTAATTAAAAACCTTAAAAATATATTGGCTGTTTTGGGGTTGCACTGGGTGGTGCTTTAGGGACCAGGCAGTGGCAGGGATTGAACCCAGGGCTCACGCGCTCTGGACCAGTGAGTAGTTTTTAATGAATGCCAAATGTGTGCTCTCTTCTCTGCCACTCCCCACCCCTCCGCCCCTCCCTATTCTGGCTCTGACACGGGATGTCAGCTGCTGAGAGACTGGAGGAGCTGTGGGGAGAGAGAGCGACTCTGTGCCCTCCTCCTTTGCCCCATCAGGACTGGCGGGTTGCCCTAAGGAGGCCTCTCTGCACGGCCTTGGGCCTCAGCAGCCAGCGAAAGAGACTGAGGGGCAGGGTGGGGGAGAGAGAGACCCTGTGGTTGGCCCTGCTGTCACTTTTGAGTCTCTCCTTGGGCCAAGAGAGGATCTTGGAGCAAGTTGGTCACCAAGTCACTTCATCTCGCCCCCCCCCCTTCACTCCTGGCCTGGGGGTTCAGCCCCAGGGGACCCAGGCAGCCTCCATTCCCAGCACAGTCCTCCCCCAGGGAAGAAGCCTTGGCGATGAGCATGGAAAATTGTCCTGCCAAGAAAGTTGTAGCTGGGAAAGTGTCTGAGGGGGGAGGCAGGAGAAATGATGGGGGTGGGTGCAGGGGGCGGGGGGTGGGAGGGAAGGGGAAACCATGCATCAGGGGAGGAGAAAGAAGGATGGGAAGGGGCTTCAGGGTGTGGGAGGCCACAGGGCACTAGGATTAGAAGCAGAAGCAAATGCAGCCTCCTTGCGGGGAGTGAGTCCTGGGCGGCAAGGTTTCTGGGTGGGGTCTTTGCTGGGCCTCAAGGAAGACAAACAGGGTCTCATTTTTGCTAGGCCTCCTGCTAGGCTCTTGCTGGCCCTCTGAGGCTGCTCCCCCAGACATCTCTGGCTACCAGTTGGGTAGCTACTGCTACTTTGGCTCCCAGCATTCTTGGCATTTCTGAACAACTGAACTCTGGCGGGGGTGGGGACGGGGGGAGGAGGACTGCATGGGACTGGGCCAAGGGGCGGGAGGGATGGCCCGGTCAGGAACAGGTGCTGGGAGCAGGCGGTTCATTCAAACCAGCAGGCTGACTGGGCTGCTTGGGTTGGCACATGAGAGCTGTGTGGCGCGTGTGTGTGCGCCTGTGCATCTGTGTGTGCATGTGTGCATGCGTGTGTGTGTGTGCGCACATGTGTGAGCACATTTGCAGTGCACCCAGACAGGATGTGCCTGTGTAACGTGATGGCGGCATGGCCGAGGATATTAACTTGCCCTTTGCAAGACTTTGGGAAACCGACGCTGCTATTCTCTGCATCCTTCAACTCTTCCTGGTACTGTGGGGATGGGCCAGGGAGCTCCAGGGAGGTGGAGCTTAGTCCTCTGACTCCCTCCCGTCCCTCTCTCCCCACCACTGTGCAGGCTGCTGGTGGGCGCTCCCCAGGCCCTGGCTCTGCCCCTGCAGCAGGCGAATCGCACCGGAGGTCTCTTCGCTTGCCCCCTCAGCTCGGAGGTGAATGACTGCCACAGACTGAACATTGATGGGAAAGGTGCGGGGGCCGTGGGGTGTGGGGTGGGAGCTTGGGAGGAGGGGGGAGGGGACTTGGCTGCCTCTTCCCTCTTCTAACGTACAGTGTCTGCCTCCAGTTGATGTGGAGAAGGAAAGCAAGGAAAACCAGTGGTTGGGGGTCAGCCTTCGGAGCCAGGGACCCGGGGGCAAGATTGTGGTGAGTATCACTTCTTGTGACTGTCTGGGCACATGCACACGCAGGCTTATAGAATGCAGATTGGCCTTATTGGAAGGTTTGATTCCTAGGACCTCAGGGATCTCAGGGATATAGAATGTCAGACACGGGCCATGGATATATATATATATTTATATATATGTTTATATGGGGGGGCTGGAGCGATAGCACAGTGGGTAGGGCGTTCGCCTTACAAGCGGCCAACATGGCCGACCCGAGTTCGATTCCTCCGCCCCTCCCGGAGAGCCCGGCAAGCTACCGAGAGTATTCGATATGCCAGACACAGTAACAACAAAGTCTCCAATGGAGACGTTACTGGGCCTGCTCGAGCAAATCGACAATCAACGGGAGGGCCTTTACCTTTACCTTATGTTTATATGGGCTGGAGCGATAGCACAGCGGTAGGGCATTTGCCTTGCACGCGGCCGGCCCGGCTGAGCTGTGTTCAATTCCTCTGCCCCTCTCAGAGAGCCTGGCAAGCTACCGAGAGAATCTTGCCCACACGGCAAAGCCTGGCAAGCTACCCGTGACGTATTCAATATGCCAAACACAGTAACAACAAGTCTCAAAGTGGAGACGTTACTGGGCCCGCTCAAGTAAATCAATGAACAATGGGAGGACAGTGCTACAATATATTTATATATAATTATTTATTTGACCATTAGTCCAAGTGTTTGAGAATTTCTTGAGCATCATCCACTGTGCTGCTGACTGAGAGAGGATAGAACAGACACTTAGATGGGAAAAAGCCTGATCCAGGACTCAAATGGCCTCTTGTCTAGTTTGGGAGATTCCTGTTCTGCACTTACTGTCTGTTTCTGTCTGTATTGTTCACTGACATGCGCAGACTCAGTAACTCATGCAGGTGGCAGCGGGGCCGTATGTGATTAATGTGAAGTCAGAGTTGTTTCTGGTCACACATGGCCTGGTGAGGCGCACAGAGAAAAGACTCCCCATTTTTTTTTTTCTTTTTGGGTCACACCCAGCAATGCACAGAGGATACTCCTGGCTCTGCACTCAGGAATTACTCATGGCGGTGCTTTGGAGACCATATGGGAGGCTGGGGATTGAACCCGGGTCGACTGTGTGCAAGGCAAATGCCCTACCCACTGTGCTATCGCTCCAGCCCCAAGACTCCCCATTGTTGAGATGATTTTGAGCCAGACTTTTAAGAACAAGCAATACTTGGGGAGCCGGAGAGGAGGGAGTCCCTGCCAACAAGGGGGAGACTCCTACAAAGGTCTCATTTCTGGCATGTTGAGGAGAGTCATGTATGGCCTGAGCACGGAGGCCTGAGTCCTGTGTGCCCAGGCCCAGTCTGGAGCAAGGACTTCCTTCTGCTAGGACAAGGGAGTAGGTGGAAGCAGGCTGGTGGGGTATGCATCTGCCGGGTACCAGGTTGCCTGGTGGTGTTCAGGAGGTGCCTGCATAGGTGAGTGAGTGTGTGTGTGTGACTGTATCAGTACCAGTGTGTGTGTGTGTATGTGTGATAGTGACTGTGAGTGTGTATATGTGTGTGTATGTGTGTGTATTTGTGAGTGTGTGTGTGTGTGTGTGTTTGTGATGCCTCCGTTGCATGAACCAGTGTCTGCATGTGTCTGTACGGGGCAGTGCAGGTTCCAGCAGGTCTGGCCTACACATGAACTGACCCCTAGTGTCCCCCCCGTCCACCCAGACCTGTGCACACAGATATGAGTCTCGGCAGCGAGTGAACCAGATCCTGGAGACCCGGGACATAATCGGCCGCTGCTTTGTGCTGAGCCAGGACCTGACCATCCACAATGACCCGGACGGGGGGGAATGGAAGTTCTGCGAGGGGCGCCCCCAGGGCCACGAGCAGTTTGGGTTCTGCCAGCAGGGCACGGCTGCGGCCTTCTCCCCTGACAACCACTACCTTCTCTTCGGGGCCCCGGGCACCTATAACTGGAAGGGTGAGTCACTCTTTGAGGAGGGGAGAAAAGGCCATGGTGTCCTCTGACCTCGGAGGAGGGACTGGGGGCAGCATGTGACTTGGCACACAACCGAGTTTCCCATCCAAGAGCCCTGGGGCACTGCCTCACGCTGCCCCGTCATGCTGGCACACGTGAACGGGGGTGTGGTTCGCATGGCCTCCACACGCTGGCATGAGCCCCCCCACGCACGCTGGGGCTGCCCCCCGGGGGCCTGCATGCTGCAGCCCCCGGCTCATCACGCCCACTCCCGTCTCTGCACGCCGCGCTGCTGAGCTGACACTCGGTGAGTGGGACAGTGTCTGGGGAGGGAGGAGACGAGGGTCTGCCCTGGGGGCCGCTGGAAGCCTGTGCACCCCCGCCCCGGCCACTAACGGGTCTGTCCTTGCAGGCACCGCCAGGGTGGAGCTCTTTGTGCAGGGCTCCCAGGACCTGGCGCACCTGGACGACGGGCCCTACGAGGCGGGGGGCGAGAAGCAGCAGGACCCCCGCCTCATCCCGGTCCCTGCCAACAGCTACCTTGGTAGGGACCCCTCTGCGGCTCAGACAGCTCTAACCCGCGCTCCTCTCTCTTGTCCTCCCCCTCTGTGCTCCCCTCCTTTTGTCTCTGTGCTCTCTCTCCGCCTGGTCCAATTCTTCTCTCTCTGGCCCTTTGTCTCACGTTCTTCGCCCACGTCTTCCTCTTCCGCCTTCTTCCTGCCTCTCTGTGGGGCTCTGTCCCGTGGTCCCCGCCCTGGATGTCCCCCCTGCACCCCGGTGTCTCCCCCTCCCCGCCCACCGCAGGGTTGATCTTTGTGACCAACATTGATAGCTCAGACCCTGACCAACTGGTGTATAAAAGTTTGGATCCCGCTGACCGGCTCCCAGGACTGGCCGGAGACTTGGCCCTGAATAGCTACTTAGGTTTGTAAGCGCCACCCACGTCTTCCTGGGCCCTGGGGGCTGGACCTGGCACCGCCTCCTCCGTCTGCCCATATCCCCTAACACACAATGCTGGGCCCGAACTCCAGGGAAGAGCTAGGACCAATGTCCAGGTCCCAGAAATCGTGACCCCAGGGTATAGCTAGGGTGTTATTAAAGGGGGGTCCCCAAGCAGGAAGGTCCAGGGGGCAGAACCCGTGCTGGGTGTGGGGGGGGGTAGCGAGTCCTCCAGAGGGACAGGTGGGGACACCTGTGTGTTGGAAGCCCCTCTCTGGGCTCATCTGCACCGCTCTGCAGAGGAGGCCTGGGAGATGTGTGGGTGAGTGAGGCGTCCCCCGTCATGTCCCCTATTTCCCAGACTTCCACTTCCAGCCAGGATGGTGGGTACAAAGAAGCTTCCCCGATGGGTCTGGGGCCTCCTGGCATGTGAGGGGCGTGGCTCCCTGGGATGGGGCGGGTCACACCCGCTGCCCCTGCACTTGGCCCCTGCCTTGTCTTTCTCTTTTCGTCCCACCCGGGGGCACAGCCTGGGCCTCGGGGCTGGAGGCGGGTGGGCGTCTGGCTCTGGCGGTGAGAGCGTGGGGGGCTCCAGGGTGGGGCTGGTGCTGCCAGCATCCCTCACGGCCAGTCTCCGCACCCAGGTTTCTCCATCGACTCGGAGAAGCGTCTGGTGCGGGCCGAGGAGCTGAGCTTCGTGGCCGGGGCCCCCCGTGCCAACCACACGGGCGCTGTGGTCATTCTGCGCAAAGACAGCGCCAGCCGCCTGGTGCCCGAGGTCACGCTGTGGGGGGAGCGCCTGACCTCTGGCTTCGGCTACTCCCTGGCCGTGGCTGATTTCAACAATGATGGGTGAGAGTGGGCGGAGGGGAGGAGGGGCTCCTGACTCTCCTCCGACTCCCCCGCGTCCCCCCCATGGACCGGCCCTCTTTCCCCGTAGCTGGACAGACCTGGTGGTGGGCGCCCCCTTCTTCTTCGAGCGCCAGAAAGAGCTGGGGGGTGCCGTGTATGTGTACATGAACCAGAAGGGTCACTGGGCCGGGATCTCCCCCCTCCGGATCTGTGGCTCCCGCGACTCCATGTTCGGGATCAGCCTGGCCATCCTGGGGGACCTCAACCAAGACGGCTTCCCAGGTAGGCCTGGCGACAGCGTAGAGGTGGGCAGGGGTGGGGGCCGCGGTCAGGGCCCGTGGGGAGGGCTCTGGGAGGGGCGTCACGGGAGCTCTACTCGGGGGCTGTAGAACAGCTCCTTGCCCTCTCTCAGCCGTACAACGCGGAGGGACGAGGGAACTGCATGCGCTGGGACGCGCAGGAGGAGAGCAGCCTCTCTGTGAAGTAGGAAGTGGAATCTCAGCGGGGACCTCGGGCCTTCTCCCCGCGCCCCCCAAGTCTGACTGCCTTTCCCCGCCCTGCAGATATTGCGGTGGGGGCGCCCTTTGATGGGGATGGGAAGGTCTTTATCTACCACGGGAGCAGCCTGGGGGTTGTGGAGGAGCCTTCGCAGGTGAGGGGAGCTGCGGGGCGGAGGGAAGGGGGGAGACGGGCTGGGGCTGGGACCCCTGACAGACGGTCCCGCAGGTGCTGGAGGGCGAATCTGTGAGCGTGAGGACCTTCGGCTACTCTCTGTCGGGAGGCCTGGATGTGGACGGGAACCACTACCCTGACCTGCTCGTGGGCTCCCTGGCCGACACAGTGGTGCTATTCAGGTCAGGCCTCCCTCTTCCCCGGGGCTCCACTCCAGTGCCAGACCTCCGGGGAGGGTCTGCCTCCCTCTTCTCCCTCTTCGGACTCTTTCTGTTTCTTTTCTTTTGGTGGGGAGGGGCACCCCTGGTGATGCTCAGGGGTTACTCCTGGCTCTGTACTCAGGAATTATTGCTTGGGGGATCACATGGGGTGTGGGGGATCACATCTGGGCTGGCTATGGGCAAGGAAAGTGCCCTGCCCACTGTACTCCCACTCTGGCCCAAAGTTTTTTCTGTGGGGGAAAGTCCTTCAGGGTGCTCAGGTTTCTTCCAGCCTCTCCAGCCATCCTTGGCCAACTGGGCCACACAGTTCAGTTGCTCAGGTTGGTGGAGTGGTGCTGCTGAGCCCAGTGGCTCTGGGGCCACCAGGGCCACACACAGTGATGCTGGGGTCATACCTGGGCCCTTTGCGTGTCAGCCAGCCCTGGCCCTGAGCTGTCTTTCTGGACCTCTTTATTTTGGAGGGAGGGCACTACCAGTGATGCTCAGGGGTTACTCCTGGCTCTGAGGTCATGAATGTCTCCCAGTGGAGCTCAGGGGACCATGTGAAATGCTGCAGTTAGAATCCGGGTCAGACAAGTGTAAAACACATGCTCTACCCACTTATACTGTTGCTTCTCCCCTTCCTGGGCCTCTTACTCTTGATTCTGAGCCCTCGACATCCTGTTTCCAGGGCCAGACCCGTCCTCCACGTCTCCCATGAGGTCTTCATTACCCCACGAGCCATTGATCTGGAACAGCCCAACTGCATGGACGGCCTCTCAGTCTGGTGAGGCAGGATAAGGAAGGCAGGGGCCACCCCAGTCTCTGTTCCTGACCAGCGAGGGGAGGGGCTGGGGCAGGAGAGGGCGGCTGGGCAGGGGTCTTGACTCTGGAGGTCCCCTCTGCCCCGACAGTGTGGACCTGCAGGTGTGTTTCAGCTACACAGCAACCCCCAGCAGCTACAGCCCCATCGTGGGTGAGTGAGGTCCCTTCCCACTGCCCCCGGCAGCGCCCAGGGAAGAGATGTCTGACGGGAGCACGACCCCCTTCACAGACTCTCTCCTCTGTCCCCATGCGCAGTCCTGGACTACGTGATAGACGGGGACACAGATCGGAGGCTCCGGGGCCAGGTGCCCCGCGTCACCTTCCTGAGTCGCAGCCTGGATGAGCCCAAACACCAGGCCTCTGGAACTGTGAGGCTGAAGCACCAGCAGGACCGGGTCTGTGGAGATGCCGTGTTCCAGCTACAGGTGGACACTGAGGGTCATTGACATCGCACAGTCTCTTTTTTTTTTTTTTTCCTTTTTGGGTCTCACCCGGCGATGCACAGGGTTTACTCCTGGTTCATGCACTCAGGAATCACTCCTGGTGCTCAGGGGACCATATGGGATGCTGGGAATCGAACCCGGGTCAGCTGCGTGCAAGGCAAATGCCCTACCTGCTGTGCTATCGCTCCAGCCCAGCACATTCTCTTTCCCGGGAGTTCCCTGAGTTTCTTTCCTAACACTCCTGCCTCATTCGGAGATCCTGACTTTGGGCCTCCACCCTCCTCCGACTCCTCCTTCCCCAGCCCTGCAAGGGCCAATTTGCTCCTCATTGCTCTCCCTCTTCCCCACTCTACGCCCCATTTGTCTCCTTGCTCTTCCAAAGCTGCTGTCCAAATTTCAGATGCTGTCTTAGGGCAGGTTCTGGCCGTTGTTGTTCAATAGTCACCTCTATCTTTCCCCTTCCCAGGAGAATGTCAAAGATAAACTTCGTGCCATTGTGGTGACCTTGTCCTATAGTCTCCAGACCCCTCGCCTCCGGCGACAGGCTCCTGGCCAGGAGTTGCCTCTTGTGGCACCCATCCTCAATGCCCACCAGCCGAGCACTCACCGGGCGGAGGTGAGCATGGGTTCCAGTCAGCAAAGGAACTGGGGATCTCGCACCAGGAACAGCCAGAGCTTGCAAAGCCATCTGTGACTTTCGCCACATTCCTGTCACCCCTCATGTCCCTGTCACCCCTCATGTTCCTGTCATACTCCCTCCCCCCACCATGTCTGAGGTATGAAACAAATTGAACTTCAAGAGGAGGATGGTATAGATGACCACAAGTTCTTAGTCAGAGGGTCAGAGGGCACTCCTCTGTTCCATATAGTCATGTAGGGGTCCAGGCTGCGGGATTCTGTCTCTTTTTTTTTGTTTGTTTGTTTTGGGGACACACCTGGTGATGCTCAGGGATTATTCCTGGCTCTGCCCTCAGGAATCACTACTGCAGGGCTTGGGGGACCATATGGGATGCCGGGCGGGGTAGAACCCAGGTCGGTTCTAAGTGTGCAAGGCCAGTGCCCTCTCCACTGTACTGTCTCTCTGCCCCTCAACCCCCGCCACGTCTTTAAGGGCCCGAGGTATTTTCCTTTACAGAAGACCTTCCTGTGTCAATTGTGTGGGACTCTTGGAGTGTTTCTCATGGCCGCTGAAAAAGGGGGACACTTCCCTTCTCTTCACCCTCCCAATCTGTAGCTCTGGGAAATGTGACCTCATTGGAGTTATACTGGGTCCTCATGGTACCATTCTCCTGCCACAGCTGGGAAAGGCGGAGTGGCCAGCTCGTGATCACGCAGCGGGAGTCTGAGTGGGGAACAGGGGGTGTAGAATCTCCTCTTCACCCTCAGTATTGCCCTCTGCCTCGCCCAGCAGGAATGACCTGGCTCCTCTGCTCTTTTTCCAGATCCACTTCCTGAAGCAAGGCTGTGGTGAGGATAAAATCTGCCAGAGCAACCTGCAGCTGGTACAGGCTCGCTTCTGTGCCCGCATCAGCGACACGGAGTTCCAGCCTCTGCCCCTGTGAGGGCCAGGGAGGTGGCGGGTGGGGGGAAGGCGGCGCCCCTCCCGAGGGCAGCAGAGGGGCCAGGGGCTGCAAGATGAGGGTCAGGGATGGGACCTTCACCTGTATGAACTAACAGAGCACATAGTTTACATGTACCTCCCTGTGAGGTAGGAGTCACGATCAGGCTCACACAATAGGGAAAGCCTGGAGGCCAAGCAGGCTGTTACCTTTCTTTCTTTCTTTCTTTCTTTCTTTCTTTCTTTCTTTCTTTCTTTCTTTCTTTCTTTCTCGTCACACCTGGCAATGCTCAGGCTTACTTCTGGCTTTGTGCTCAGGGATCACTCTTGGTGGGCTTGGGGGACCATGTGCGATGCCAGGGATTAATTCTGGGTCCACTATGGGCAAGCCGTGCCCACACTCTGACCCTAAGTTACTTGATTTATTATTTTTTGATGTTTGGGCTACATGTTTGGGCTGAAGCGATAGCACAGTGGGTAGGGCGTTCGCCTTACAAGCGGCCAACATGGCCGACCTGAGTTCAATTCCTCCGCCCCTCTCGGAGAGCCCAGCAAGCTACCGAGAGTATTCGATATGCCAAACACAGTAACAACAAAGTCTCCAATGGAGACGTTACTGGGCCCGCTCGAGCAAATCGACGATCAACGGGAGGGCCTTTACCTTACCTTACCTTACCTGGGCTACATCTGGTGGTGATTAGAAGCTACTCAGTTTAGTGCTCAAGGGTCACTCTTGGTAGTATTGAGGGATCATACACGGGGCTGGGTTCTGAACCTGGGCCTCCTGCATGCAAATCATGGTGCCCACTGTCCTCTTTCTCCAGCCTGAGGGTAGTCACTGTAAGTGGGAGAGCAGGGCCTGAGCGGGGGCTGGGCCAGAGGCTGAATACGGGGGGGTGGGCACCCGTGCCAGGAGGGACGCGGGCGGTGCGTGAGCCTCTAAGTGAGTGGGCTCTGACTCTGCAGGGATGCAGATGGGGCCACTGCCCTGTTTGCCCTGAGTGGGCAGCCAGACATCGGTCTGGAGCTGACCGTCACCAACCTGCCCTCCGACCCTGCCCAGCCCCAGGCCGATGGGGACGATGCTCATGAAGCCCAGCTCCTGGTCACCCTCCCTGACTCTCTGCGTTACTCGGGGGTCCGGACCCTGGACTCTGCGGTGAGGACCTGAACAGGGAGGGCTGGGCCCCTGGGGCTGGGGGTGCCCCAGAAACCGGAGCCCACTCACCCTTCTCCCCCCGTTCCAGGAGAAGTCTCTGTGCCAGTCCAATGAGAATGCCTCCCGTGTTGAGTGTGAGCTGGGGAGCCCCATGAAGAGGGACGCCCAGGTTGGTCCCTGTCTGACCCCCTCTCCAACCTGCTCGCCCATGGCCTTCCCTGGTGACTCCTTCCACTCTCACCCCAGGTCACCTTCTACCTCATCCTGAGCACCTCTGGGATAACCATTGAGACTACAGAGCTGGAGGTGGAGCTACTGTTGGCCACGTAAGCCTGGTGGGGCCGCTGAGGGCATCTGGACTAGAGATCCTTGGAGGGGCGCTGCCGTGTGCCCCTCACTCCTCACTGTCCACTTCTGCCCCTGCCTCATGTCAGGATCAGCGAGCAGGAGCTACATCCGGCCTTTGCCCGTGCGCGGGTCTTCATTGAACTGCCGCTGTCCATTACAGGGTAAGCCCTGACCAGATGGGCACCTTCTTTGGGGAGGGTGTTTGTGTGTGGGGGGCAGGTATTGTCTTTCTCAAACGCTGCCTGGGCCCTGTGCACTCACCCCCGCCTCAGCCATGCCCGGGCCTTCTCCTCAACCCTGTTTGACGGTCCACCCCAGGGTGGCCATTCCCCAGCAGCTCTTCTTCTCGGGCGTGGTGAGAGGTGAGAGTGCCATGAAGTCCGAACGGGATGTGGGCAGCAAGGTCAAGTACGAGGTCACGGTAAGCACCTGCTTGGTGGCCCCTCATGGTTCTCTCTCTTTTTAAAATGAAATAATTTTTGTTTGAGGCCCTACCTGGCGATGTTCAAGGGCTGATTCCTGGCTCTGTGCTCAGGGATCACTCCTGTAAGGCTTGGGCGACCATAGGGGAGCTGGGGATTGAATCCTGGTCGACTGCATGCAAGGCAAATGCTCTACCTGCTGTACTATCTATTACTCCGGCCCTCTCCTCTCTTTCTGGCATGGAGGAGGGCAGGGCTCTGTCCTTGGAGGGCAGGCTGGTGTCTAGTCCAGCACCTGTGAGCAAGGGCCATGCTGGGGCCAGGGTGATTGGTGTCCTGGTTATCCTTTACTGCATCTTCTCTGCTGCTGGCAGGAGGCCCTGGCAGCCCAGAAGTTTCTCTGCTGGGGGTGTCTGCAGGGGCATGACAGTGGGTTGATGCTCGTACTCACAACTCAGAACTTCACTCTGTACGGGTCTCCCTCCCCTCCCAGAGACAGCTCTGGGTTTTCCTGCCCCCAGTGTGCCTCTTGGGTCTTCATGGCCATGGGGTCCCAAGGCCTCTCTCACCTGGGCTGGAAACTGAGCTCAAGTCCTTCTTGCCCCTGGCCCGCAGGTCTCCAACCAAGGCCAGTCACTCAACACCCTGGGCTCCGCCTTCCTCAACATCATGTGGCCACACGAGATTGCCAACGGGAAGTGGCTGCTGTACCCCGTGCGGGTGGAGCTGGAGGGCGGGCAGGGTCCCGGGCAGAAGGGGCTCTGCTCCCCTCGGCCCAACATCCTCCACCTGGTGAGGTCCGGGCTGGCGGGTGCCGGTGGGGGGGCGGTCAGCCTTTGGGAGGGATGCTGGGGTCTGGGGTGGGGAGGAGATGTCGGCTCAGCATGGCTGGGGGCCCCCTCCCTGCTTCCAGGATGTAGACAGCAGGGATAGGAGGCGGCGGGAGCTGGAGCCCCCCGAGCAGCCGGTGCCTCAGGAGCGGCTGGAGCCCAGCACATCCTGGTGGCCCGTGTCCTCTGCGGAGAAGAAGAAAAACATCACCCTGGTGAGGGCGGGCACACGTGTGCGGCTAGAGGCCGGGGTCCGTGGTGGAATGAGGTGGGTGATCCGGGATGCTATGGGGCGTGGGACTGAGGACCTCTGTGGTCTGACTCCGGGGGCCAATGGGCAAGAATGTTCTCGCCACACCCTGGGGAGTGACTGCTGAGGCCACAGGCCCCCTTGTTGCCCATCTGGGCAGAGCAGGGCAGCTGACCGCTACTAGTGAGTTCAACACGTTAGATTACTGCTCTTCGTGTTTGGAGGAGCAGGGTCAGGGATGAGACTCAGTGACCGTACAACACTTGCTTTGAGGCTCTGGGCTTGGTTTCTCTGTACCCTTCTCTCTCTCTCTCTCTCTCTCTCTCTCTCTCTCTCTCTCTCACACACACACACACACACACACACACACACATCCATGCCCAGGAATCTTTAGGCACGACTTCCTGGCCCAGTGTTCAGGAGCCCGTGAGGTGCTGGGAATTGATCTCTGGGCTCCTGCATGCCCCCAGCCCTCTAAGCTGTCTCCCTGGGCCCCCAAACACCCCATTTTACAGAAGGCAGAATGATTGTAATCACCTCTGAGAGCTCCTGGGGAGTCTTTGGTTCCCTTTCAGGACCAAAAAGTCACTTTGCGTAAGGAAGCCTGACTTCGTTGACTGTGGTTTGTCAGGCTTCTGTGGGGGCTACCGAGAGGAAGAGGAGGCTCCAGGCCGGGTCTGGGTCTCCGTGGCCATGTCAGTGAGGGAGTTGGGCAGCCTCAGGAGGGGCGTCGAGTGCTCGCAAACCCTGCCGCTGTGCTCCGCAGGACTGCGCCCGGGGCACGGCCTCCTGCATGGTGTTCAGCTGTCCGCTGTATAGCTTTGACCGTGTGGCTGTGCTGAAAGTTTGGGGCCGCCTGTGGAACAGCACCTTCCTGGAGGTGAGAGAGGGCTGGGCAGCCGGAAGGGCATCCTCTTCCCCGACAGCCCTTCTGGGTCTCGCGTCTCCTGCGTTTTCCCCGTCTAGAGGCTATTATCCCCAGGTGGGCAGAAACACCCTCTGTGTGAATGGCCATCATTCCAGTCCCGATTTCCCGAACTGGGGGCCATGGAGGGGCTGAGGTACTCAGGAGGCAAGTCTCCATCCTTGTCCCCTCAGGAGTACTCAGCGGTGAAGTCTCTGGAGGTGATCGTCCGAGCCAACATCACAGTGAAGTCTTCTATCAAGAACCTGCTGCTCAGAGATGCCAGCACGGTGGTGAGCTGGGGGTGACACTGGTGGTGGGGGCGTCTCTTCTCTGCTTGGCTCTTTGCTTCATCCATGCCATTCTCCCCAGATCCCTGTGATGGTGTACTTGGACCCTGTGGCCGTGGTGGCAGAGGGAGTGCCCTGGTGGGTCATCCTCCTGGCGGTCCTGGCCGGGCTGTTGGTGCTGGCACTGTTGGTGCTGCTGCTATGGAAGGTGAGGCCTGGGGCAGGTGGGGGCCCCTAGGGGTTGGGATCATCCTCTCAGCCACCTTCTCCTTCTGGTCACAGTTCTGCTCTGAGCACTTACCCTGTATGGCGCAGGGGCTCTAGATGTTCTAGAAAGAGACCAGAGATGCATCCGCAATGGCCAGCCCCATGTGGGAGGCGAGCAGGCACTCAGGGATGAGTGTTCTGGGAGTTTAGGGAGGGAAGGCTTGGGAGCAGGAGTGTGGGGGGGCAGGGAGTGGGGGTGGGGTGTAGGAGCTGGGTGTGGGAGATGAAGTGGGGCCTGGGCCACAGGAGGCAAAGTGTGGTGGCAGGAAGTGTGGCTGATTTAACTGGCTGGGAGACTGTACACACACACACACACACACACACACACAAGCTCACAAGCACGCACACACACACACACACCCACACACACATGCATGGATGCTCATGCACACGACAATTCAGAGAACTGCCCCTTCTTCAGCCCTGTAGAACCAGGCCTGTCCTGGGGGCGGTTTGGAGAACGGGCCCCATGATGCCCAGGGTCAGCCGTGGACACGTGTGGGTCACTGTTGCCCAGGCCTCTGCGAGGAAATTGCCGCCGGAAACCCCATCAGTCTTAAGGGAGATGGTTGCTTCATGAGACGGTGCCCCTCCTCCCTGTGCCTGTGGAGGGGGAGCAGTGGAGAGAAGACCCCATCCTTCCTTAGTCTCCCCTCCCTGTGCCTCTCTTTCTCCTTCCCCTGATGCTCCCATGTGACTTCTTTTTTTGGGGGGGGCTTTTTGGGTCACATCGGGCGAAACAAAGGGGTTACTCCTGGCTCTGCACTCAGGAATTACTCCTGGTGGTGCTTGGAGGACCATTTGGGATGCTGGGAATCAAACATGGGTCGGCCGCGTGCAAGGCAAATGCCCTACCCACTGTGTTATCGCTGCAGCCCCTCCCCCTGTGTGGCTTCTTCCATTGGAGCAGCCAGTGCTCATCTTTCCCCACCAACCATCACCATGCCCATCTGGCCGTGCAGCCCTCAGCCGTGAAAGTTGGGGTTCCGGGGACTGTGGGGTAACTGGTGTGTGTGGTATGCATGTATGTTGGTATGTGTGAGTGGAAGCAGAAACTTGGAGAATTTAGGGGACCAGGTATGTGCCTGGGGAAGAGACAGGACTGCACGGGTTGGTGCGAGTCTCCTGCATGTCAGTGAATTACTCCCAGGTGGAGGTGAGCAGCGGGCTGGGCGGCTCCTGGTGCGTGAGCATGCGGGTGTGCTGGGTGGTGCCCCACGTGCCTTTTCTTCCAGGCCTGAGTCTGCAGAGACACGTATGCAAGGCAGTGCCCTGTGATCTGAGCGTGGTAGAGTCTGGGGGTGTTTGCGTGTTTGTGTGGAGGCCCCCCCTTTCCTACTTTCTGTGGCAGGCCCAGCATACACGTGACTTGGAAAGGGGCCAGGCTGCCATGTGCCTGTCGGAGAGCACCCTGCCCAGGTCCTTTATGTCTAAGGCTAGGGCGGAAGCATCTGGAACATGCAGGGGTCTTGGAAGCTGTGTTTTCCCCTAGATTCTGTTTTTTTTTTTTTGCTTTTTGGTTCACACCTGGCGGTGCATAGGGGTTACTCCTGGCTCATGCACTCAGGAATTACTCCTGGTGGTGCTTGGGGCACTATATGGGATGCTGGGAATCGAATCCGGGTGGGCCGTGTGCAAGGCAAACTCCCTACTCCCTGTACTATTGTTCCAGTCCCTTCCCCTGGATTCTGGAGATGCGAATGGCTCTCTTAGAGCATGGTGGGTGGACAGACACCTCTGGGGTCAGCAGCCTGGATGTCCTTCAACTTCAGCCTTCTCTTCCATGTGCGGGGGGTAGTGGGGGGAAACCTCGATGCTATGCACTGGACTCCCAATCAGTCTTTCTCTTGTGAAGACTTGGGGCACCTGGTACTCATCTGGTGCTCTGAGACTGCTTTCTTCTGTTCTTGGTGCTGACCAGCCTCTGTCCTCTCTGCATTACTGCCTCTTTCCGTCCCAGGCCTGGTGGAAACAAGGAGCTGGGTGGGGCGGGCTCTGTGGCTGGGCTCTCATGGCTGACCTGGTGTCCTTCCAGATGGGATTCTTCAAGCGGGCTCGGCATCCCGAGGCCACCGTGCCCCAGTACCACGCAGTGAAGATCCCGCTGGAAGATCGACAGCAGTTCAAGGAGGAGAAGAAGGGTACCATCCTGAGGAACAACTGGGGCAGTCCCCGGCGGGAGGGCCTGGACGCACACCTCATCCACGTGGCTGATGGCCACCCTGAGCTGGGCACCGATAGACACCCGATGCCAGCCACCGCCTAGCATCCTCTGTGTCAACCTGCAGTCCACTCCCGCCCCCTCGGGATGAGGACAGAACCGCAGGTTTCTGCTGTCTAGCAGAACTTGGCAGGATGTTTCCTTGGGGGCATAGACGTCTCCCCCGTGACGACCACCCCCAAGACCCCATTAGAGGCTGTGAGAGGAGAGTGGCTATGTCAAGGGTGAACTGTGGGGTCGGGAGAGGAGGTGGCGGCGTCCTGATGCAAAGTCGGGGAGGACAGATACTCGTTCTTCCCTCTCCCAGTCACACAGGACCCCAAGGGCTGGACTCCCCGAAAGTGCCTTAGCCTGGAGTTTTGGGGACGAGGTCGTCTCGCAGACTCAGGGGCTCTTCCCTCCCTAGTACCCTTCTCCTCTGACCTTAGTTTGCTGCATCAATCTAGTGGATTTTGTCTATTTATTAAAAAATATTTGAGGATGAAGTGGCTCTTGGCTCACGCTTGTGCCCAGGTATCCAGGAGACAGAGTGGGGTGGGAGGGAGCTGAGCCTGGCACAGATGTTTGTGTGTGTGTGTGTGTGTGTATGTATGTATGTATGTACTGTGACTTCTGTGATGCCTGGTATAATCTCTGAAGGAGGTGGTGTGTGTGTGTGTGTGTGTGTGTGTGTGTGTGTGTGTGTGTGTAACTACCCCATGGTGGGAAGGACAGGGCATGCAGCTGTCCTAGCAGTGGATAGCTGGGTGGGAAAAAGTTGGGAGATACAGAGCAAGAATTTGAAGTTAGGGGACAGAGTGATAGTATAGCGTTTGCCTTGCACGTGGCTGGCCCGGGTTAGATCCCAGCATCCCATATGGTCCCCCCTAACACTGCCAGGAGTGATTCTTGAGTGCAGAGTCAGGAATAACCCCTGAGCATCACCGAGTGTGACACAAAAAGCCAAAAAAAAAAAAAAAAGAAAAGAATTTGCAGTTAAGTAGATGTCATTGTAAAACTGTCTTCCTCTATGATCAGGTTAGGAATAGTTGTGTGTGTGTGTGTGTGTGTGTGTGTGTGTGTGTGTGTGTGTGAAGGTTGGGTTGTATATGGCTGTGCTCAGGACTTACTCCTTTCCTTGAGGGAACATAGGTAGTGCTGGGGATCAAGCCCCCATCAGTCATGTACAAGGCAAGTTCCTTACCCATTGCCCTCTTCCCTTCCCCTTCCCTCCCCATCCCTCCCTTTCCCACCTCTCTTCTCTCATGAAGTACCAAGGATTGAACCTGAGTCTGCCTCATGCAAGTGTCTTAACCCCTGTATGATCTCTCTGACCCAGGAACAAAGGTTTTTCACTTTGGAGGGAAGGATTGAAATTAGGGGAGGAGGAACTGGGGTGGTGGTGGAGGTCGGACTGTTCTCTGCTTCTGGGGATATGACAGACTTTGTGAATGGGGCTGGAGCAATAGTACAGTGGTGAGGGCCCTTGCCTTGCATGCAGCTACTTTGGGTTCGATCTCCAGCACCCCATAAGGTCCTGCAAGCTCACCAGGAGGGGCCCCTGAGTGCAGGAGAAAGCTCTGCGCACCGCCAAGTTTTGCTCCCAGACAAACAAATGGATTCTGCCGGTAGGGGGTGATTCTAACTGGAGGCAGGTCCTGGGGCAGGTCATTTCACTGCTTTTTGCACCAAGTGGGAGCTGCCAGCTGACTCCAGAGGAGAGGAGTAGTGGTCTTTCCACTTGGATTTCAGAGCAGGGGCTCCCTCGAGAATCTTCCAGGCCTTTGAGGTGCAGCAGTTCTTCCCACAGTGTTTCCAAGTGGGCTCAAAGGCACACAGCCACAGGCAGACTCTGTGGCCACGTGGCTTGGCTGTGGCCCCAGAACAAGTCACACTTCCCTGGGAGAGGTGGGGAGCTAGCGGACGTGGCTCCCTTCTACAGTCTTCCTTGAATGAACGAAACTTTGGTGATTGGGACTTGCTGGTCCCTCAATTTTTTTTTCTTTTTGGGTCACACCCCGTGATGCACAGGGGTTATTCCTGCCTTTGCACTCAGGAATCACTCCTGGAGGTGCTTGGGGGACCATATGGGATGCTGGGAATCGAACCTGGGTCAGCCATGTGCAAGGCATATGCCCTACCTCCTGTACTATCGCTCCAGCCCCCGCTCCCCAAATTTAAGACACAAACATGTGACTCCTGACCCTTCAGCCGCTACTTACTTCCTCTCACGGCTCAGTCCACAGTTCTCTTCCTCAGGGCAGCCAGCACAGGAGCAAAACTCTCCCAGGCCCAGGTGCTTCTGCCTGGCCCGGCCAGCATCCAGAGGAGCCTGCGCCCCACCTCCTGATCAGTGCTGCCTCCTCTCCTCCAAGTGCTTTCCCTAGTCGTCTCCTGTGCCCCTATGCTTAGAATTGAGCAGCTAGTTCTTTGGTTTGTTTTTTGGGGATGCTCAGGGGTTACTCCTGGTTCTGCCATCAGGAATCACTCTGGGGGGTGCTGGGGATGGAACCTGGGTTAATCACGTGCAAGGCAAATACCCCGCCCTTGGTACTACTGCTCCAGCAGGCTGTAGATGCCCCAAACACCTTCAGGCAACGTCTTTCTGATTTTCAGACCTGCTTCCAGGGCTCCCTCCCTCCCCTGATCTGTCTCAGTGGCACCTGGGCCCCAAATGGTGCCAGATGCTTTCTCCCTCTCAGCGGAAGACACTCCCTCTGCCCATCCTTCCCACCACAGGTGCTTCTGCCACAAACCCAGAGCCCTGCTAAACGCCTTTCTAAAAGCTCTTCAAAGTCTTACAAATTCTACTTATTAATTTTAAATGATTTTCTGGGGTTTGGGAGTTTAGAGAGGGCTGGGGCCCTTCGTGGGTGCTTAGCCCCGCTCAAAGCTTCAGCTCCAGGGTGCTCGGGCCTCGCTGAGGCCGGGGGCTCCTGGGGCCTCAGCTGGTGTGTTCAGGGGCCAGGTAGTGTCAGGATGGTATTCAGGATCCCACATATGCCAGACATGTGCTTTACAACTTTGAGTCATACCTCTAGCCCTGGATTCTTGTTCTAATAATTATCTAGAAAATTCTTATTTATTTATTTATTTTTTTGCTGTTTGGATCACACCCGGTGATGCCCAGGGGTTACTCCTGGCTCATGCACTCAGGAATTACTCCTGGAGATGCTCGGGGGACCATATGGAATGCTGGGAATCGAACCCAGGTTAGCCGTGTGCAAGGCAAATGCCCTACCCACTATGCTATCACTCCAGCCCCACATTCTTTTTTTTTTTTTTAAATGTAGGAGTACTGCTATTTATTCAGCCATTGATTAAGCTAATTGAATTGGACATGAACTCCACATTACTTTAAAAGATTTTTTTTAAATCGAATATACATGAGATAGACCATTACAAAGCTGTTCATAATTGGGTTTCAGTCATACAATGATCCAGCACCCACCCGTCCACCAGTGTACATTTCCCACCACCAATGTCCCCTGTTTCCCTAACATCATCCCCCACCACCCCATCCCCACCACCCCCTGGCCTCCCTCTATGGGAGGCACTTTCCTTCTTGCTCTCTTTCTCCTTTTCCTTAGAACACTATTTTTTTTTTTTTGTCTTTCGGGTCACATCCAGCGATGCTCAGGGGTTACTCCTGGCTCTGCACTCAGGAATTACTCCTGGTGGGTACCATATGGGATGCTGGTGATCGAACCTAGGTCGGCCACATGTAAGACAGACGCTCTACCCGCTGGCCCTAGAACACTATTTTTAATTTTTATTTTTGTGTTACATGTGGCAGTGCTCCGGGCTTACTCCTATCTCTGTGCTCAGGGGTCTCTCCTTGTAGGGGCTTGGGAAACCAAATAGGTGGGATTGAACCCTAGAGAGCCATGTGCAAGGCAAGTACCCTACCCTCTATACTATCTCTCAGGCCTTATATTTCCTTTCTTATAAGTTATTATTTTTATTGAATTTTTATAAATTATGAAATTACAAAGTTATTCATGATTAAGTTTCAGGCGTACAATGTTCCAACACCAATCCCTTTACCAGTGTCCTCAATTTCCCTCCTGCCCTCAGCCTGCTTCTATGGCAAGTGTTTTTCCTTTTTAAAAAATTTTTCTTTTAACTTTTAAGCACTGTGGTTTACAATCCTGTTGCAGTAGGTAATCAGTGCAATCACAGTACTTCCTTTTAGCACCCTGTCCTCCTCCAGAGTGACCATTCTCTGCACCATTGTCATGGCGTTCCCTGCCCTGCCCAAACTCCCACCCCGCCCGGGCCAAGCTTTCGACAGATGACCCACCTGTTCTCCTGCTCTTCATTTCTATTGCCTTTGGGCATTTGTTATTTTCCGATTATGCTTCTTTATATCCTTTATATAAAAGAGATTATCTTTGTCTGTCCCTCACCCTCTGACTAATTTCACTCAGCATGATACTCCCCAGATCCATCCACGTGGCAGCAAATGGCATGATTTCATCTTTTCTTATGGCCGAGAAGCAGTCCAAGTGTAGATGTGCCATGGTTTCTTTATCCACTCCTCTTGGGCACTTGGGTTGTTTCCAGTTTCTGGCTATTGTGAATAGTGCTGCAATGAACAGAGGGGTGCAGATGTCTTTTCTGTATTGTGTTTTTGGGGCCTTGGTGTATACTTTAAGAAGTGCTCTCCCCATATTTCTAATAATTATCTAGAACATTCTTACGTTTCCCAGTCCCTCCACATTTGCATAAACCCGCAGACTTTAGTTAGGTTTTGCCATGCAGAGGGTTGAACCCAGGGCCTCATACATACAAGGCAAGAGCCCTGCCGCTGAGTCACATCCCCAACACCCCCCAGACTTTAATGTAAACATCACTTCCTTAGGTGACCCTCCTTTGTCCCCTCTGCATTAGGTGGTTCTACTGCTCTTTTATTTTTTTAATTTAAAAAAATTATTTATTTATTTATTTAATTTTTTAATGAACCACCGTGAGATACAGTTACAGACTTACAAACTTTCGTGCTTATGTTTCAGTCATACAATGATCAAGCACTCAAGCTTCCGCCAGTACCCATTCTCCACCACCAACGTTTCCAGTATCCCCCCCACCCCCATTTCCCATCCCCGAAACCCCCCTCTGTGGCAGGCTGATTCCCTTGAACTCTCTGTCTCCTTTAGGGTGTTGTGGTCTGCAGTGCAGGTATTAAGTGGCCATCATGTTCGGTCTATAGACTACTTTGAGCAGACATCTCCCTTCCTGAGCGGGCCCTCTAAGCATCCTTTACTTGGTGGTCCCTTCTCTATCTGAGCTGCCTTTTCCCCCATCACATGAGACCAGCTTCCAAGCCATGGGGCAATCCTCCTGGTCCTTATCTCTACTATCCTTGGGTGTTAGTCTCCCATTTTGTTACTTTATATTCCACAAATGAGTGCAGTCCTTCTATGTTTGTCCCTCACTTTTTGACTCATTTTGTGCTGCTCTTTTAGCTACTGGTCTGATTTCCTGTCTACTAGCAGATGG